AAAAAAGCGTCATATGACCCCTTTAATGTTTTTACAGAAACCATCAAATCACTTTTTCACATCTTGAGTCACTTCCGATCACTTTCTCTTGAGATTGAAGAACCATTGTATTAAAAAGAGCATTTTGTTTTTCTCTATAGGTTGCTGTGCTCTTAATGGACACACAAGGAGCATTTGATTCCCAGTCCACAGTGAAAGATTGCGCTACTATCTTTGCCCTCAGCACCATGACCAGCTCTGTCCAGGTTTCCACAATGCATCTCTACTATTTAGCCACAAATGAGTTAAAAGAAGATTGGAATTTTATCACAATTCCTTTTTTTTTTCGTGTAGATTTATAACCTGTCACAGAATATTCAGGAAGATGATCTACAGCAACTTCAGGTTAGTCAAATCAGAACTAGCCAATAATACAGCAGTGTCAATCTGAACTGACTTATCTTAAGATTGTCCTGCAATTTTGATCCGGAGAATTGATCACAGATAAATTATTGGGTTAAATGTAACTTGATTTTAAAAATTAATATAATACAGTTATTATACTTAATTTTCTAATGTAAATGTACACTACTGTTCAAAGGTTTGGGTCTGTAATATTATGCAATATTACAGTTTAAAATAACTTTTCTATTTTAACGCAAAGCTGAAATTTCAACATTATTATATTATCTAGTCTTCAATGTCACATGATCCTACAGAAATTATTGTAATATGCTGATTTGGTACTCAAGAAACAGATATTATTATTATTATCAAAATGGTTATGCTGCTTAATATTTTGTGGAAACATTAATATACAATTTTCAGGATTCTTTGATGAATAGTTAAAAAACAGCATTTATTTGAAATGTTAATCTTTATATACGTCACTATAAATGCATTTACTGTCACTTGATCGATTTATTCCATTCTTGCTGAATAAAATATTTAATTTCTTTCAAATATATATATATATAAAAAAAAAATCTTACTGCCCCAAAAACTATGGATGATTACATATAGCTTATATAACACTGTTCTCATTAGGTATGTGTAAAACAGCATATTTTCATACTTGACTAGTCAGTGAGTTATCTAACTAGTTACTGTTTAGGCAGGCCTGTATAATCCGAACCTGATCAGATTCATTTTGTAGGGGCATGCACATTCAAAAAAAATTAATTTTCTTCTAAAAGAGCTGGACAAAACACAACAGCAAAGAGCGGAGCACAGAGTTCTCATGAAACGCTGAAAAACAACCGCCTGAGCTGAAATATAACCTATTATTGCTGTCAGAAAGCATTGTGCACAGCAGGGCATTTCGAGTTCAACTATAATTTATTTCTGCACTTATTGTGTATTATGTGGAACAAGCCCTCAGCATCTAAAACCCTATGAGAGAGGTTGTGTCTTAATGCATTGCCAATAAATTATTGATGCATCTGTTTTTAACAGACCGTACCGTATACCACAATTATATGTTATTTTTTCTTGTTTTAAATTGTGGTTTTATTCTTTTAATGACTTAATGCCATTTTTTGTTTGTGTAGCTGTTTACAGAGTATGGCCGACTGGCAATGGATGAAATCTTTCTAAAGCCTTTTCAGGTATGAACACACCTTGCTTATACTGACATTGTAGTCACCTATATTTAAATGTCTGTACCTGTAGTGACACGTGCCTTCTGTGCGCAAATTTGTATTTCAAATTTGTGATTTTTACTTGCCATTCATTTAACTTCATAAGCACAATAACCTCAGGACTTAAAAATAAATGTGGTGCCACCATGATACAGTGATGTATCAGATGGCAGTATCATGGTATTTGAAATCTTATATTGGATGATCGTCATATTTATATCCCATTGTATTTACATCTGTAACAAGAATAATAATACTGGGGTAGTACCACGGACAACATTGTCTGAGAGCTCAGGACAGATTTTACATATAACTTGAAACCGTTATATATCAGCGGGCATGTGTTTTAAAGAAAACTCTTGTGTGTTCATATTTCCTTCATGC